GCTATAAAGGCGCTTTAAAATTTATATAGTTTTTTACTCGTAGTTTTGAGCCTTATAAGTACAGTGTACAACTCTTTATAACGAATTGCCAGGGTCCGTGAAATCTTACGTTATATAGAGTATTCGTTATAGGGACGGGAGAGATAATACACGATAGGTGACTGAGACCAAAATTTCCTACAGGCAATGTAATCTAAGAATAATGGCACACGTGTTAATGGAATAAACAATAACAAAGGCAAGACGGCTGTTAATGATCTCAGTTGTCTTTCTTAGAAATTACGGCATCTCAAAAGGTAAGTTTCGTAAACTGATTATAAAAACAATTATACTTAAGTATGTTGTTGATGTCTAAATATGACAATATTTCTTCGTTATAGAGAAAAGCTGTTGCGTTATAAAGAGTGAATTAATTTATGCTGGTTGTGTTAACCCAACAAATGTAACTATTTTTACGTTATAGAGCGTTTTTCGTTATAACGAATGATGTTATAAAGAGATTACACTGTAGGGGAAGGTCGGGACCCTTCGTACGGTTTTCACATTTTATTTTTTTATTATTTTATTTTTCCATGAATCAATCATCTGCAAGCTTAAATTTATAGTCTAACTATCTGAGATTCATATAAGAAAATGACAAATGATTTCATCTGATGGTTCAACCATAATTATGATTTAAACTAAATCTGGAAAACGTACGAATCTACCCCATCAACGGGGCACCTTCGTACAGTGTTGAGGGTACCTTCGTACGCTGTGGGGTAGTTCCGTACGTGCGATTAAAACGACACATATAAATCAAAATTCATTTATTAGCAATGAAATTAAACACAAAAATAAAGATTTAACTTCTAATAAACAAAAATAAAATACTTTAATTATAGTGAACAAAAATTACATAGCTTTTCTTAAGAAAACCAAAATTTAATTAGTTAGGTATCTTAAATTTAGAATCACATTCTTTAATCTTTGGTGCGGATTAGCACTTCTTATTTTCGGGTGTGGCAGTATAAATTCGTGGTTTTCCTGGCCGTCGTCATTTTGTTTGTTTTATTACTTCTTACAACATGCGTATAGAGTCGAAACCCTTAAGGTGTCAAAACTGACTTCGAAGGAACTACTATTTGATGGATTGGTAAATTATTCAAAGCATCTGGTTCACAGGCATCAAAATCAACCTTAATAAAGATAATAAAAATAGGTATTAATATACATCGACGATAGCAATGATAGCAACACAGGACAAAGTTAATGCAAATATTAGAGCAATTAGCACACTAACACAATCTTTCCTACCTACCAGAGGGTTTAGTCAAGATGCCTTATTATTATTTGTATGTAGCAAGTCGAAAACTTAATTTGTATGAAAACGACAGTTCGTGTCGACAAAATATTTTCATACAAATTTAGTTGTACAATTCGTTCAAATGTGCCCCATCTAGTGCTGTCCGAAAGTACCCCACTAACTGAATAACAACAAAATATAACTTATTTTAATATTAATAGGAAAACGTCATAAATTAAGTATTGGAGACGTATCTAAGTATATTTTGCTAGTTACTGATAGAATACTCTACACGAAAACTTATTTTATCTACGGTAACAAGAGACAAAAACATTGATCAAAAAATTACTTACCGAGCGCGAAAACACGTCCATGCCTGTAACTTCATTCTCATCGGTGCGAATTTCGCGAAACTTCGATTATGTATAGTTCGTACCTCGACTCATGCACACATACAAAAACAAGACTGTACTTTGTTTCGTTCAAGTTTTATTTCGACTGTATGAATGTGCCCCGCGTACGAAGGGTAACAATCTTCCCCTATATATTATAAATACTTACAGGAGTAGATAATATTGTTAAAACAGTGTATTAATACTAAACCATTATAGGGAATAATCCTTTATATAAATTCCATGTTCACAAGCGTTTTCTCATTATATATATTCTGGTAATAATCTAAGATCGCTTGCAAACAAAGAATAATAACGTATAATCGTTGCATTGTTGTAACCAAGAACCAAGTGTGATATATGTTTGGCACGCATACCTAACAGTACCTAAGTTATTCAATGTCACAAAATTAGTAGGCTAATGGTATACAAAGTATAATTAATTAGCCGTTTGCATGCTTATTATCTTAACGTATTAGTTTAGCTGAATTATGGACATGCTATTCTTAACGGGAAAGCCTATTTTTCTTTCAGGACAATAACGTATTACTTCTACCTATACATTCTGTTCAAGAGACCATTCCGCTATTCGAAGTGAATTGGAGATAATTATTGTGTTATTTTACACATTAATAATTTACATAGTTAATCTACTAATGCATTATATTGATGCTAATTACAAATGTATATGTAGATTTATATATTTATGCAGATTTCTCATATGTATGCAAATCAGTTCTTGGTAGCTCGCATGTGATGATTTGATTATGCTGTTAATAATAATTAAAATGTGTAGATACTATGATGTAACATAGACACAAAAACTTAGAATAAAAATCCACTATAAAACAATAGACACTTATAAACATTTACGTTGTAGCGTTTGTTATGATTCAAATTTCATAGGCCATAACATCTATTTTCGTACGAACAAAATCCAGAAGAGCGAGAGCTACGTGTATAGATAATTAAAATAAACACCACCATATACATATTAAACGCATCTCGACAAAAAATTAAAGGTTGAACAAACTTTTGGCGGGACACGGGGCGCATAGAAAATGTGGGAACGAGGCGATTGTTGTTAAGCATTCATATGGTACTCTACTCACCCATGCCGGGACATCCGCCGCTACTTCCGCTGCCAAAGATGGTGGATCTTCGAACGACTAGTTCGTTGACGCGCGATGGCCCCGATAACAGCTCATAACAACGGCATCGCGATTATTTACGAGTAACAAATACGCGCGCACGTCTCGGAAAACTCATGGCAAGGTTAGATTAATTTTCACAAGCGTAGCACACAGCCGCTGCGTCCGATGAGCTGCGTAAACTTGCGTTTAGAACGTCTTGGGAGCTATTTTTGATGCAAAATCGATGTGTGTTTGTTGAAACACCAATGTCTAGAGCATGCACGGAATATGCAATGTCGTCAGCCTTGATGTTTATATTGAGTGTACGTTTCCCTACCCTTTTATATTTTTTTGTAGAATTGTTGAGATTTATTGTTTAATTTTTTTATTCTTCGTTGTATGCGGTACGTGTAGCAACCAACATGAGAAGCATAATATCCAAGATAAATAATGGGTTTCTTATTTTATTTATGCTGCGAGTACTCATACAATTCATTGTTTTGGAGCTTGCACCGCAGTAACCTTTGTCCTTGAATTCATTAAATGCTTTACAGTAGCATGATAAGTACTTGTATATATGTATATATATTTATTGTATATAGCTTTGATCTGTTCTTATTTTTGACTATCACACTACTTTTTTTTCACCTAGAGTTGTAAGCTCCTTTTGTAAGTCTTTTTAATTTTAAGCGATTTTTTTTGTAATTTTTCCCTATAATACTTTATGATATATGATAGATGATACTCACTATATAATGTCGGTTTTGCTTTGTGTTTATCAACCTATAACTTTGCTTTTTGGGTATATTAAATTAAATATTAAACGAAGTATAATTTGCGTGGTGCGCTTAGAATAATAAATGTTGATGTTTAACTGCCGTAGAAAAGAAAAATACATAAAGCATTATTTAAATTTACTTTTTTATAAAGAAATACAATCATACTTAAAACCTGATTGATCCATCACTGCAAGGACAAGTTGTCGTGGTTAGTTTTGTTTTGGCAGTTGTTGAATTTTTTATTTAGGTGCCTTTAACTAGAAAATAAACATTTACCGAGGATCTTTCTCTGCAAGTTTCATGCCTAATGAAACATATGTATATGCTTATTTTAAGCGTTTTAGCAAGGTTCAGTGCAGTATTCTGTCCCATCCCATAGTGTTAACTTTATAGAGATCGCCGTTTTTTATGTGCAATTCGATGTTGTTCTCGTAATATCCGTAGCGCTGGTATAGCAACTCGAAATCTTGGTATTGCGCAATACAAAAACTTAACATTAAAATCGGTATCGCTATCGCTATTGAAAAATACGGAGCGCCGGTGTTGATTCTTTACTTATATTTATACACAAGTAGAGTCGCGGTCAATAGTTAGTTAGATATACAAGATTAGCAAACCGCTCTGGCTTAGTTTGGGTGCAAGGTTTTGTCCATAACTTAAAAAATCTAAATCCAATACATTTTTGTCCCGTACGATATAGTCAGAATTAACGCTATCGATTCTGAATCTTAGCCTTAGATAAATAAAAAACTCCAAACAAGCATAACCTAACATTTGAGCGACATTCACTTTTCGATTAGGACTTGGGAAAACTTTGAAAAAATTACTATACAATACACCAAGATCAGTTCACCAAAGAAAGGACAAAGATCTGAGGTTGTTTATTAAAATAAAATAGAAGGCGCTATTTATTGTCATCTAGTCAGTAGTTAAAGTATGCTGTCACGAGAAAATGTCATTTATCAACGTCGTACATTAGACGTCAATTATCACTGTTGACTTAGCACTTTACAGCCAAAACAGTCATGATTCAAATTTCAATCATATAATATATGACATATATTAAAGGGAAATCCCAATGTCCAAACAAATAGGTAAGAATAATAATTCTATAAAAGGATATTTGCATTTTGTATATGGGAAAATCTTGTGATTAACGAACCTTCCTATACATCTTTATATAAGTAACCTACCCTAGAAGCATGCGCAAGAAATCAGGACTCGTAGTAAAATCATTTGCTTCCTTCCTATATCCAGTTAGAGTCCAAAGTTGTTTGTAGTGTTCAAACACTAATGTAATTCGCACAATCACTAGCGTGCTATATCACAATATTCAACAATCAATTACAGGTTCAACCTAGAACGTACAAAGCCAGTTTCCGTTAGGGTGTTGCAAGGGTGGGTTGTTACGATGACTGGAGTGGATGAAATCCTAAATTATCAAAAAAACCCTGACGACGATTTTTATGGGCTGCTAGGATGCGACGAAAGCTCCTCGGTAAGTTGGTATTTCGCTCAATTACAAGAAATCACAAACTATTGATTTGCTGTTTGACCTTAATCTCACGTCATAAATTGACCTACATTCTATAGTGATATACTTTTATATTGTAATCGCTCAGGCTTGAGCAATGAGAACCATTCTTATTATGAGATCTTTGAATTAATTGATAAACTGCTAATAATAAATGAATATCTGTGTCAGAAAACAAAATGATTTATTTTCTCATATAGACACTTAAACCTTACAGGTTGAACAAATAAATGCGGAATATAAAGTGCGAGCCTTGCAATACCATCCTGACAAAAATGCTGGAGATAAAGATGCTGAGGCGAAGTTTCAAAAATTGAAGGTAATTTATTTATTGGTCTTTTTTTAATGGATTTTAAGTAATGGGGTAACAACTTTTTTTTTGACATCTAATAGTAACTCTCTGCCTTCAGTGGTGATCTGTGTGTTATTTTAAGTTTGTCACCATGATTTATGAAAAAGTTTGTGTTTCTTTAGGAAGCAAAGGAGACCCTTTGTGACCCCTCAAAGAGGGCTTTATATGACAAGTGGAGGATGAGTGGAATCTCAATGGGATACAAACAGTGGTTTGGGATGAAAGACCACATTCAACAGTCTATGCATTGGTCCAAGCCTAACACCAAGGATCGTATGTTGGAAGATGACTCTGGTCGTGCCTCAGGACCATCCAGCCTGGGGCCAAGCAATGCTGCTGCCAGGCGGGCATCTGAAGGAGGAGCTAATCTTTGGGGACGGTGGGGAGGTGGAAACCAAGAACCACCAACTGAAGTTATCTCTAAATTCCGCAATTATGAAATCTAAATATCCCCAGTTTGATGATGGTACCTATTACCAATGGTATTTCTTCAACACAATATGGCTTGCCATTTTAACTTTTGTTTAATGTAAGTAGAGTTAGTGAACAACCTTAGTATATTTATCAGGTCAGCTCAATAATTAAGCGTTCTCGAATGTAACTCGATTATTGGTGTTTAATGTTTTATTAAATGTTGGTGTTAGCTGGCCCCATTAAACGTAGACTTCCTTTAGCTTTAATCTGTGCACATTCCTAACAAATATGAGTCTGATAATGACATTTCAGATATAGTACAATATGTATTCTAAGAATCTATTTTATATTTTGAGATCTTATATTTTTGATCCTCTTTTTATCGCTGCAATGTTTTTATTGTATATTCCTACTGATTGTGAGGGTGGGATCAAGAGAGTTGTGACTACAGGGTATTGTTTGGAAGAAAGGATGGATTTTGTTTACAAATTTTTACATAACCTAAGTATTTACATCTATTCCTGTTTTCTTCTTATACCTATTGATGTGTTACCCGGTTAGGGATAGTTAGATTAATATGTGTTACAATTTTAATCAGTATTTATTGATGTTTTAAATGTTCTATAAATGTTATTTACATAGAGTAGTAATTTTATGTCTACAAGAATCTCAATATGGAATTGTAATTTAATTTTGATGTAAAATCTGCGATTAAATAAAAGGTAAAAACTGTGTTTTTTTTCTACCTTCCTATAGTTATATAAATCCAAAGTAAGGTACAATTAAGAAAATTGGTGGAAATTCCCGTAGGCCGTAACTACGCGGGCAAACACATTTCTGCATCATTAATTATATTGGGGACTTCTGTTCCTACCGACTCAAATATACACACATTCGGCGGGATCGAACCAGGACTTACGGAACATATGCCGTGTGTTAACTAAACCTCAGATTCACAATTAATACATAGCCCTAAGTGTGAGATCTATAGTGCGCACTTAGACTTTGCTCTGACTTAACTATCGAGCTAAGACACAGTCGGTATTTATAGAGCAAACTACGAATCTCTCCCTAGTGTTGGCTTAGCTTAATCTCAAGTCCACGAAATCGACGACTTACCAAAAACTTTGACTATAAGCCTAACAAAAATAATGGCCCAAAATTTGCTTTACCATCATATCTTTTACTGGACTTTTTATTTTTGTCGGTTTTTAATGAACGGTGTTGCCATTTTGTATCGGAGTTCCATAGACTTTGGGAAAAATAGAATTTGAATTCAAAGAAATTATAAATGATCTTGATAAATACCTATGAAATGCATGAAATAAAATAATTACACATTATTATGGTATTTATTGTTGTTTATTTATATTATTTATGTAATTGTTCAAACCCCATTTTTGAGAAATCTTAAAAATAACTGGTGTGATTTTGTATGTCACCTGGCAGCCCTGGCAATTGGCATATTATAGTGACAACGAAATTCAAACTATAACCTAACCAAAACATTGCGATCCGTTCTACGTAATAAAATTATTGTCATCTTTAAATAATTAATACATTTTCTAAAGGTTACTCGTGAATTTCTAGTTATTGCAATAATAAAATAAATGAATACATAAATAACAATAAATTGAAGATATATGTGTACCGTTTTAGATTTTTAAATATTTGTTATTGTTAACTTTTTTAAAGGATAATAAACAAAGTATTGCATGAAATGAAACATCAATTTGTATTTTGACATTTTCTGTCTTAGCTTGGGCTTAGCTTAATCTCACCGTTAAAATGTCTATAAATACGAAATCATAGTTTAACCTTAGTGTACACTAAGCAAAGTTTTTCGTAAGGTAAGTCTGAGCAAAGTCCAAGTGCGCACTATAGATCTCACCCTAAGTGTGACTCGAGGATGTCAAAAACATATTGTATGTCAAATACTGGAGTCATACTTACATCTTACCCTAAGAGACGGATATTATCGATCAGCTAAAACTAGATTCAAAATGTAATGACAACAAATAGAAACATAAGGTTCTCTATTACCAAAATAAGGATACATAATTCTTATATTCTTCAGTTATACTTAAAATTTTTAACCCGTTGATAAGTAAATGTAATGCAAAATAGTGTTATCGAATTACGAACCAAGCACTTTCCGTAATTGTTACACCGTACTAAGGCGGAAATGAGTGTTCCATAAACTTATTAGAAATACTACGTGTTTTGCTAATAGCGTATCTAGGCTAATTTTTTAGTAGTTTCCTTGGAACTCAACTCAATGAATTTCTTACGTGTCTTAGCTTAGCTTAGAATTTCGAATTGATAATCGACAACATGGAGTAAGCACCGATGACCTCTTTATACGCCTATATGATTATTACTATTATGATTCTATTATCTGCCGTAAATCAATAAATATGGAATTAAATAGAATTCTAGCGGACTATTTTCAGAGTCAAACAATATTGTAGAAAATTATAAACATTACTTTCATGTTTAATAATTACAAAGATATTTTGTCGGAAAATGCGCGCGTGCCGTTAACATCAACATCTTTTGTGGAAAAATGTCAAACAGGATAAGGCACAAATAACTTAGTTACACACATGGTGTTTCGTAAAAACGGTGAAATATATTGTGTCTATTGTGTCCCTCATAATTCTTCTAAGTTTGATTTTATTTGGCTATAAGACTAGCCAAATAAAATTTAAACAATAATTGTGTTCTTGAAAATCGAACCAACAATTTGCGAGTCAAATCTAGGAATCTAACAGTTAATAGCCACGAAGGTTTATCTTTATATATATACCTATTTATAAGGAGACCATCCTACATGCGTTAATTTTAAAAAATACTTTTTAGGATATAGTACAACTAATCTCAACACAATATGTTTTTAAGTACTTATCTATATGGGATTTAATAAGGATTAATAAGTGAGTAAGGACTCACGGTACAAATCCCAAAAAAAATTGAAGTAGGTATGTACTATATATAATTGTAAAAGTAACCCGAAACTGAAATCTACATTAGGAGATTACATTGTTTGTTCTCTATAAAGTAAGTAGGTTTCGCAAATATATTCTAATCTGATTAAAAATAAGAATATCTATAATGATTAAGGATTTAGCGTGATCGTTTAAGCAGAACAATATTTTAAATTTGTATTCATTGGTAAATACAACTAAATTTTAAAAATAAGTTCCAATATTGCTTTAATGCTGTAAAATAGTTCTATAATATTACTTAAAAGACCTCACCTAAAAAAATTCTTACCGCCTTCAATTAATTATCAAATCGAAAATATATTGTATATGTTTCGAAGATACAAAAAGTTACGAATGTTTTACTTTTTTTAACTCATCAAGACCTCCATGAAGGTCTTATTAATTTATGGGTCAAGCACATGGATATATGAGAATTTAAATGCCCTATGTCGGATGGCTGCTTGGATTCCAGTCAGTGGATGTTTATACTGCAAGCTCCGGTTTCATTGACGACAACTCATTTGCTACCATCAGTGTCTTGGTGGCTCTTTTAAAAGAAAGTGTGTGTTATATGTGGTTCAGTTTTGTGTATTTTCAGATTGGTTTTAAGCTATTATTAAGGGTCTCTGGAAAATATGGTAAAATAAAACAAATGAATATAGGCGAATACGGTTAAAGTAATTTATTTTTAACAAAAAAATATGTTTCGATTTTTCAATCATTTATTTAACTAAGATTGTGGTCACGAATCAGGTTCGTTATCAGAAAACTCACTTTTTTATATATGGTAAGTCAACTAAGTTAAAGGTAAGTTTATAGATAGGCATAACAGTTATTGTGTTAATTTAGGAATGCAGACTTAGTTTTTAATCTGGCACAAATATCTACCGGATCTGTTATTTATCGTTAATTTAAATGGTGATAAATATAGCCTATGCTACTTACGGGTACAATTCGTCTTGGGAAAGATGTTTTACAATCCTACCATACAAACCTTTCATCTTTCCAACATAGCTGTTCAATAGAATCGTTAAGAGAAGTGTACCTAAGTAGAAGTACAAGTATTTAAAAATAATTTGTAACGTTACATTTCCTAGTTCAGGCCAGTCCTTCCATGAATAATGTGTTTAGGGTCAGGGATTACATGGGATATAAAGAAAGATGGAAGAGGAATGGAAAAAATCCTCCAATTCGAGTGTATCATTGACAAATCTAAAGACGTTATACATATATTTTTAATCTTGGGTGCTTAGCAATTTATGTACAAAATTAATTACCGAATAAAACCTATTCATCCAGATAGCACATGTGCTTTAATTGATAGCATCAGAAATTTAGAATAGAAAGAATTTTAAAGTTATTTTCGCTTTCAACAGATTCCAATAGGCTTTTGTTACCGATAACGACGCATGAAGCATCATATGGGGCTTTCCGTGAAAATGTATTGAAGTAACCTGAGATACGATCGCACTTCCTGACCTCGAAACAAAGAGTCATTATGTATTTTACATAGCTTTTTCAGTATTCGTAATTTGCGATTCTTTATCTATTGTACACAGAAAGCGTTTATTGTTGCTTGTTAATTAATTTAAGGAATTATTTCGAATGTGTGCGTGTTATCAGTCTTTCGGCCTTTTTGACAGTATTCGCCACATGTAGATTTGTATAGGTTTTTGCCGATAATGATACATAAGATTATTATGTAGCATTGATCTATTTTAATAATAAATTACGCATCTACATAGAAGTGTATTATGTACGTCATTGAAATGATAAGAAGGTGTGAGGTCGTTGCTTCCTTTGAATCACTGCTTAAGCGAACTCGAAACATAATTAATTTCGAGAGCTTTCATAATTATTGTCGTACCTATAAGCAAAAAAATTTGTTTGGTAAAATTATTTTTTATTTTTTCACTCCGGTAAACAATTGCCCGTCTGTTTCCTTTTACCACAATGATTGGGTCTGGGTTTTATACAATCACACACGAATTGTTATGACAATTCCACCTAGGATACGGATTATACGCAATAATATCGCGATGGCTTTTCATAGAAGCTTTATTAATATTTTATATTATACAGGATCTTATTATTATCTATGGATGATTTTTCTTTTTTTTCTGCTTTAAGTGCCAACAAATTTCTGTAATTTTATTCTATTTTGTTGTGTGCTTGTATTATCTTGTATGTTTTAATTGTATTTTTTAAATTTCTATTTTTTTTTTGTGAAATAATTAGTAGATTAAGTACTGTGTGTGATGTCGTAAGCTTAGTAACTAAATAAATAAATATGGAGGATCAAGACTAGAAGAACTATTTGAGTGTCTCACAGCAAACAAAGTAATGTGCAATGCTAAAGTTCCATGCATGTACTTACTTTATTTGTTCTGAAACACCCAAACCATCAACAGTATTTTAAAACGATGAAAGAAGACATTGAGTAATGTATAACAACAGGAATCTTATGTACAGTATACTATTTATTCTATATGTAACATTTTTGTTGTCTTAAATTACTCTACAATCGATCTTGAAGAATGAACTTTTTAACTTGGATTTTTAAGGTGTTGTTATTAGATTATCAATAAGTTCATCGTAGCGTAGCACCGGAGGTAAATTAAAAAAAAAATTACCTTTAAAAATTGTGTTGACTGTTTATTCCTTGAAAACTGGCGGGTTTATTTATATTAGGAATAAGCGATGGCGGTTAATTCTAGGTTGTCAATAGTCTCACAATACGAGGTCACGCCCAGGTAAGATTTTAGAAGATTGTTAACATAATTAAAATTTTATGATGCAGAAAAGGTTCAATGGCCATTCAACATCTCCAAAAATTGCGTGACGTAATACTTGAACGCTCCCTAATAAAAATAAATTTATTAAGATAAAGGTTAAATAAAAGATATTTTTATATTTTCATTATTATTATTTTATTATTATTATTACATTATCATTCATATTAGTAGATTCATTTGAACATAATATAACCACTGGAATACAAATATTCTAAAAATTACAATAAAAAAACTTTTATTTCAATAATAAAGCAATATTTAATATATTAATTCGTTATATTATCACATATCTTAATCAAATAAATGCTTTAATATGGCTTTATAAATGTTCTTAAAATATACGTTAAGCCTCATTTTATATACTAATTGAGGCAAGAAATTTGTAATATACAATTTTTATATCTGTATTTCAAACTTAACGATTAGATAGATTAACATACATCGTAATCTATCTAATATTTAGGTAATTGTCATCTATGGCTTTTTTAATAAACTGTATAATTATATATTTTTTTCTTCTGTATGAAGTTTGACAGCGATTGAAATTTGATATACCAATAGAATACGAATTTAAGAATATAGAGCACACGACATAATGGTGCATTTCTATTCGATAAAATATAGGATAAGAATTGACGAAAATATTATTAGTAGATAATAAAAACTGTTACATAACTGCTAATTTGAACTCATACATTATATAATTACGTATAATATTGTCGCTTTGATATGACAATATTGACACCCTCATTACATCAACTATATCCCCCAGTAAATTGTTTTAATTATAGCACTAACATCATAGAATCGGGTGGGTCACACACTCCCACTACAGAGGGATTCAAGTCAGGCTGGTGTTTTACGATGAAGAAATATCAGTACTTTAATTAAACCAGTTTAATGAGACCGATTTACTCTTTGGGAGCGTTCAAGTATTACGTAACGAATTTGGGGGGAGAGGGTCCTTTTGTAAAACGTTACGATGCGGGGCGGGGATTGAATTTGTTAATATTATTTTCGACTTTCCAGTACTCTACACCACATAATGGTAACTTTTAGGTAAAAAGAGTCACTAGGTGGTCATGAAACGTTTTACTATACTTGAGTACAGAAAAACGTTACGGCGCGTTACATGGGGGGGAGGGTCAATAATCTTCAAAAATTGCGTGACGTAATACTTGAACGCTCCCTTTACTGGTTTGATAATTCATAATATCTATTTATTTTTCTATTCAATTAATTTAAAGTAATAAAGCTACGATCATACTTGTTGCCCTCTGCTAAGCTAATTAATAACTAACAGTAAAATTACAAATTACAATTTGTGTTTTGTTATACGTATTTGTATCAGATCCGGTGATAGCTAAACAAAGTTTGCAAGTATATGTTGGCAATGTGTGTGTTACCGCTAAAATATTATGGGAAGTCTAATAAGTAATAAAATTTTATTTGGTTTCATAGTACGTTAATATTTTTATCTACCTCCAGGTTTTTGTTTACTCTGGGATTCGTTTACTAGTTTTAATTCAATATTTTCACATAAAAGAATGTCATGTGCAACAAAAATCTATATTTTATGTCAAAGACTGTACAGAAATTATAATATCCAGCATAATTGCCTTATAAACTACGCTGTAGCTATGTCGACAAACTTTTGATAATCATTCAACTTGTCAACACAAATTTGACTTTGACTTGACAAAATTATGATATTTTGGGTCATAATTATACAAAAAAAGACATGAAAAAAGTTTGCTTTTGAATTTGGGTTGATCTGATTAAACGATATTTTTCAAAATCTGTGTATTATAACTATAATAAATGCGAACTAAACACCAAAAAGGCTATTTTCTTTTCGTTTTTATAATACGATTTTTTTGCAGTCGTGTTTTTTTACAACAAATAAAAATGGCGCCTTATTGGTAAAGCTGGAGTCAGGGAGTACAAAACCTCAATACAAATAGTTCTTATCTTAAGTTTTATATTAAGGAAACAACAAATTATAAAATATCGAATCGCGCAGATCAAAGTCTGAATGCAGTTTTACCTACCTAGATGATTTTGGAATCGGCCGCGGGATTTTACGTCGCATACTTTCGGGTTGGTACTCCAGATTGCATGGGTGTATTAATTCCTGGCCACCTTGGTGAATCCATTTGTTGCATACTGAAAGAGGTTTGATTTATTTATAATTTCTCTAATGCCATTAACATGAAAGATTTCAAGAAATTCTACATCTATAAGGTAAAACTAAGTGGGTATAACGACACCTTTATTTGAACGAATTGGTAAAATAATTAGGTCCCATTGAGAATATACAATAAGTTTTTACTGTTAATTTACATGTTTGGATTATATTAGGTCCTTACATATGAAATTGGCGTATTTCGTACTGGCCACTTTAATCACGATGTTCTCCTCTTTGGTAAGGAATTCCAAATTCAAATTTGTACAGCTATTTACTCATGTATTTGTACTTCGATGACCATCTTTCATTTGTTTTTTTCTGTTTGCGTCACTCATTTTACAAAATGGAAAACTTAAAGTATCGCATTATTTACGAGTACGAGTTCCGCCGTGGCACTAGTGCTGCGGAAACGACTCGAAGGGTGAATGATGTGTATAGCGGTCATGTTGCAAAAGAAAACATAGTTCGTTTTTGGTTCCAACGTTTTCGTTCTGGAAATTTCGACCTGCAGAACAAGCCCCGTGGACGGCCTGAGACCCAAGTTGATAATGAAGTATTGAAGGCTATTGTGGAAGCGGATCCATCGCAAACCACGTCCGAGTTAGCTGCAGGCTGCGTTGTTAGTGATAAAACTGTTTTAATTCACTTGAAGCAAATTGGGAAGATAAAAAAGCTTGAAAGATGGGTACCTCACGAATTGACTGAAGCAAACCGGCAAACGCGCGTCGACTGCTGCTTTACATTACTGAACCGGCACAATAATGAAGGTATTTTAAACCGAATCATTACCTGTGATGAAAAATGGATTCTTTACGATAATCGGAAGCGCTCAGCGCAATGGTTGGATCCTGGCCAGCCAGCCAAATCCTGCCCCAAGCGAAAATTAACCCCAAAAAAGTTACTTGTAAGCGTTTGGTGGACTAGTGCCGGTATTGTTCATTGCAGTTTTCTCAAATCTGGCCAGACTATTACGGCTGATGTCTATTGTCAGCAATTGCAAACCATGATGGAAAAGCTAGCGGCTAAACAACCTAGGCTGGTCAATCGCTCCACGCCACTGCTACTTCACGACAACGCTAGACCACACACTGCACAACAGACGGCTACCAAATTAGAAGAGCTTCAATTGGAATGTCTAAGACATCCTCCGTACTCCCCGGACCTTGCTTCAACAGATTACCATTTTTTTCGAAATTTGGACAACTTCTTGCAAGGGAAAAAATGTAACTCTGATGGGGCAGTCCAAATCGCCTTCACAGATTTTATTGATTCCCGTCCGACTGTTTTTTTTAGTAAAGGGATCAATGAACTACCTTTGAGACGGCAAAAGTGCATAGAAAACAGTGGTTCATACTTTGATTCATTAAATATATTATATTTAAAAATATTCGACTTTTTGTTCCTCCCATACAAAACGCCAATTTCATATGTAAGGACCTAATATATTTACTAGCTGACCCGGCAAACGTTTGTTTTGCCATGTAAATTATTTCTAGGAAACATTTTCATAGTTCAATAAAAATAACTATCTACAATAATAAAAAATAGGCGTTGATCGTAGAGGGGTGAAAATTAGGGGTTGTATGTATTTCATCAACCCTTATTTTTTATTTGTTAATTAAAATCTTATGACTTGAACTCTGAGGTTATAGAGAAAAAGGTAGGCTAAGTAAAATCACATATTATATAAAAAATACCATAAAAAACATTACCCCATTTAGATCCAGTGAGGACAGGACAGGCTGCGTGGCGTGTCGCCAGATCGCCTTCACCAGACGGATGCAAATTAAGCCAGTATACAGCAGCGCCACGGACGGGGAAGACGCTAAGACCCAGTTCCGTGAAGACTGTGGCGCCACCTTGAGCCACGTTCGACATCTGGAGACAAAGTTTATTCTTAAATTTCTTCACGAAACTATTTTTGAAGTTAAAACTTCTTTAGCGGCGTTGTACACTTTTTTTGGAATGGGTAAAAAATGTTAAACTCGCGTCAGGACAAATTCGTAAGACGGATGTTTTTTTAAAGTATTATGAACCTTCGTTCTATATAGTTAAGGTTTTAAATCATTTGTCTCTTTCTTCAGATACATTGATACAGCTGGCGCGGCGTATTTAATGTAATATAAATTGTCATGTTTGTGTACGATAGCGCAATAAATAAATATTGTATTCTACCACATAAATGATGGTAGTTTTATGCTGATAATTAAAGCAATTCGTGCAAAATTACCATTCCAAAATATCAAAAATGCACAACGTTAATATTCAAGTTTTCACTTCTGCCGGCACTTCCGGAGTGCAACCCGTCGTTTTTTGTTGTTTTTTTTACGGTTTTGATACTTGTTTAAATGAAATATACAAGAAAATGACGAAATAGTATAAAACTATTTCAGATTTATACGTCTTATCCTTCCTAGAATTTTCTAGAAAACATCGTTTGTAAACGCTCCTACGTATTGTTTTAACGAAAAAGAAGCCTTTCATATGACGGTCCAAGATTTTTCTTGGATCTCTCAAAAAGTAAAAATTAATATTTCATAACAGCTATTTATAGTCTGTAGCTATCCGACCTCTGATGGTCTGTGCAACCTCAAATTGAAACATAGAACTTCATATGTAAAACCCATTTGGCGGTAAAAAATTGTAGCTATTGTTTTTAGTAAACAGGTAACTACTGAAACGTGTTAAATTAAAGAAGAACTTACATAGAATAAAACTGTTGCAATTCTGTTGCCATTAGCCTTTCCAAATGCAGTTTCTTGTTTCTGAAAAAAAAGAAATAATAGTATTCAAAATATATACATTTATATATGGGTGAATGTGATAAAGATAATTGATACGTACGAACGTAGACGTACATATTTATTATCTAATGAAATTTTGGTTCGTTGTATGATTAGGTCTTAATATTAATCGAAGAATTTTGGAACTTACATCTTTAAATATAGAAGAAGAACAGGAGAGGAATGAATAACATATATATTTATTAAATTTTATATAATACATCTGTCTTTCAACCTAAAATACTATGTTTTGTTACGTACAAATTACTGTAGATTTAAATAAGATTAGAAATTAATTAGAAATATGTATTTTCGTTTAGCTATTTTTTAAATATAGTTAATAGATTATCCTAGTTAACTTTTGTACTATATGATTAACGTATAAATTATAATTATTATTATATTCTGAGTAAGAACAGGTGTGCTTGAATAAAAAGTTCTGAACTCGTAATTTTTTATTCTATTTTAAAATCATAACTCTTGTTACAAATATTATAATTACATGAAAATAAATTGATATTGCCAATATATAGATTACATAATATAAACTCACCCTCGCAAAATCGAAGTGGGGTTCATAATGTCCCCCAATCCCATAGTTAACGACCTGAAGTTCTTCAGCAGACGTCATACTGAGTCCTGTGAAGTGAGCCACACGGCGGGACACGCGAGCCACTATGGAAGACTCTTCATCCTTCAGCCACCCGGACTTGCTGATGCGGTAGTGGGCTGGAACTAGTTCGCCCGTTTTTGGGTCGTGGACCGTAGCACGTTTGAACTGTTGAGAAATCCATTATACATACATAAAAAAAGTATTTTCACAGATTTTTGATCTCTAATGTCACATGTACTAAAATGAGGACAATCAGATACTTATGAAAGTATTTTGTAGATAGGATATACACGTATGAAACTGACATGAGAACTGAAGAAGGCGAAAAGTTAACCAGATCCATGCAACTGCTCTTTTTTTTTTTTTTTTAATAAAATATGTTTATTTAACTTCCTCAACAGTAGCCCGCAATATCGCAGCACACAACGCCCAAGGGGGCTTTTTGTATCGAAGAAGTCGCATGCGTCTGCCAAGCATCAGCGAATATACAATGTAAATACATACTTATGTAAATAAAGAAAATAAAAATAATAGCAAATAATTAACACGCAAGGTTTCTATGGAGTTTCTGAAATGTCCACCGATTATCATCAGAGTTTTATTGTAAATCCGACACAATATATTAACAGGGATATTCATGACCACAAAGGTGACGATTGTTTAAGAAGTAACCTAAAATTCATATTTGTTGATAAATTCTCATTAATTCGATAGATAAAATAGTAAAAAAAATAGTTTTCTGTAAAGTCGGTTTACGGACAATAGTTTAACGTGACAACGTCATAATAAAACAATGATGAAGTTATTGCATACTTTTAATAAACTCATAATAAATGAAATTGAATCACTATTTCGTATGGATACAAAGAAGGGGTGAATCCTCGGACGCATACGCCAATCGAGTGGAAGAGAGATAGATGCGGCGCAAGCGTACAATAAGCGTAACGGGACAATGAGACATGCTTTATTAGACGTTGTCAGGTAATAAAAAAATTTAAGATGTACGTTCGCTATTATTGGAACTCGTAGTAGAAGTACTAAGCTGTAAATTCGGCCCTTTCAATAATTTAAACGCGATAGGGTAATTTAACTAGAAAATAAAAATATCTGCTATTACTTATTTTATTCAAGCTGAAATCGCGAAAAATCACGAAAATTCTAAGATAAAAAGGTATTGGAAACGAGACAATTAAAAACAGCTCTACCAAACATATGACAAGTATTGAGAAGCCGAAAATATTTGTATGAAAATGAAACAGCGCCTCTGGTTACACGAAGAACTGAGATTTTATACCACACTTTACGCATACAACTTTAGCATAGGTACAATATTTTCTGAATCTATTACAAAAATAAATTTTAAAATAAAATATTCACCCTTGGCTTAGCCATCTTCTTGATATGATCTATTTCCTGGTCAGTGAGTACGTCATAGAATACAACAATATCGGGGTTCCGATACATATATTCCATCTTCACGGCTGCCAATCGCAGGAAAGGATGGGCTTCTGTTAAATATCTGCAGGTTAACCTGAAATTATTTAAACATTTCATTAAAAGTACTTATTTTAATGAGGATCGATTTCTAGAACGTCAATCAAATTTAAATTTAGTTTCAAGAACTGACATTTTTATGTATGAAGTTTAACACATTTGACAGCGCTTAAGACGTCATTGTGTCTTGAGATACGAATTATAATATGGTAATTAGATTATTACGATGGCAACATTTATTCCTACCAAGCGATCTCTTTAAGGCAACCTAGCTAGTGAGGGGGTACCGGGTTCGATTCCCGGTTCGAGGGCAAGTTTTAATTTAATTTAAATTTGTTCTCGGCCTTTGGGAGGGTTGTGCGGTACCGGGTGAGTGCCTAAACCGTACATGGAGGACACGGTCGAATTTCAAACGAATTATAAACAATCCTATACTTGACGCTGGCTAATGCACAAATCGTGCCAGAGCCATAAAAAAAGAAAAAAAAAGGCAACCTTACTTAGATGAACAAAATACTATACTCTGATTTTTAGTTCCGTAGAATTCTGACAGCTATCATTTTTTGACATGTCAGTGATGGCAAACCTTTTTGGCCGGGCACATTTTTCAATTTCAATACGAGTCTGAACATCTGAGTCTATATATACATTTTATTGTTAGTTAATGTATCCACTTTATTAAGTGCAGTGCTTTTCATTAAAAGTGGTTTAACAGCGAGTGGTAATAACGTTCCTTTTCATCACAAACAGTAAAAAAAAAATAGTAGCAACACTAATGAAATGTCAGAATTCTACAGAATTACAAATCAGAGAATATGTTCTATCTAAAGGATAGCTTCTATTTGAAAGATGGAAAAAATATTATTCGTAAAAACTTAATCTTATTGCACTCATCTAAAGTAATCTTTATCTCTTTTCGTCAAATTGTGTTTATGCTGTGTTAGTTTTAGAAATATAATTGAATTATTTACTATGATTAAGGAGTTGTAAATTTTCTCCGGTTTGATGCATAACTTTAATTATTATTTGGCAACGGAAGCAAAGCATAAAGTGATCCATAATTAACTTAGATCTGTGGCGAACTTATTAAAATCTTAACTCACTTTTACCAAGACTTAAGTGACTATAATATTATTTTGAGGTATAGTTAACTTTAACCGACACAGTTTGGCTGTTAAAGCATAGTTCTATTACATACATCTTTTGAAAATATCTTCCTTCTAACACACTTTTTGCTTACGTTTTAGTTATTTCTTGTGGAAGTTCCACTTCGCCACGGCAGAGTTTTTCATAAACCTTTCTCTCTTTCGCGTATGGAGTGAGTGTTGGCGGCTTTTGTGTGATTTCTTCCTCTAAATCTTTCCCAGTGTCCTAAAAAATTGAATTATGTGACTATCAGGAAGAAAATTGTTAAGTTATCAGAGTGCATTGAAATAAACGTATTACTTAAAATGTTATATACATTAATATGGAGAAAACATGCAATAGGTTTATAAATAAGAAAATAATTCCTATACACATATTGAGAATTTTGGGCTCTTACAGATAAAAAAAGGGTGCGTGTACTTATGTACGCGCGAAAGAAGTTATATCTTTGGCATTATTAAAAATAGTTTTTGATTGCATGCAAATAATTAATTACAATTAAATAATCAAAGACTGGAAAAGGAGTCACTATAGTCAATAAAGTTCAGTTTACATTTGAAAAATTAAATAAACAAATATTTATTATTATTCTCTTACATTAAGTGTAACATAAATTCTATCATTATTCGAATGTTGTTTTTTAAATTATGTCCAATGCCGTAGCATCTTCCGTGGGCAACTTCATTCTGATAATTTTGTGTCACGGTGCGCGCGCATCGTAAAATTTCACTCTCATCAATTTTTCATAACGCTAAGCGCATTGTAGAAGAAGTAAAACTTCAAAAATATTAAAAGATACAGCTGGATTAGAAATTTTTCATTGTATCGTACATTAGGACCTACCCCGCGCCTTCGTCTCCGTAGTTTTTCTTCATCTTCTGATATAATCTTATTGTAATGAGGAACATTACCGCGCGCGCGCTCATGTTTCGGATCCAGAGATAGCATCTTTTTTGTCCATTCTAGTGCAGATTTTACATCACCTATAAACATTTTTAAGTTTACGAGAGTGATTCGAAATTTAAAAAGATGTATTCAAAAAATGCCACGTCTTTATTCTTTTTTTTTTGGAGTTTATGGCCTGGTAAGTAGACCTTTAGGCCATGCCACGTCTTTTTTTGACGAGGTTGCCATTTCAAGAATATATTTACTATTACGATATTATTTTTTCCAAGTTTGTACACAAATTTTCAATACACCTAGAAAATTATTCGAAATTTAAAAAAGGAACTTTAAATAGTTGCACTATTTAATTTTGTCTTTGACGGGGTTGTCATGTCAAAAAATATAATAACTGTTTTGATTTGTTTTCCATATTATTTGCTATATCATCAGGTTGATATGCAACCTCATGTAATAAATGCTATACTAACCCATCATAGAAAGTTATCTGGATATGATTTATACTACAAATTAAACGTATATAAATTTACCTAATAAATAGTGAGAGAATCCAATATATTCCATAATATCGAGTTCCTTGAACAAATAAGGCTGGTTTTCCTCTTTATACTTTCGCATAGCCTCTGTCATCCATGCAAGAGCGTTCGTGTAATCTTTTTCGTTGTAGAGAGCTTTACCAAGCTCATAACAATCGCCCGCACTCATTGGTGCGCTGTAATTTAAATATATTATAATAAATATTACTAAAGTAATATGATGGTAAATAAATATATTTATGGTCTAATAAATTAAAACATTTATCACCCATTAAGCTGTAATGATTCATAATTATGAATCTGAAAAAGAAGGAATTGAAACAGTTTCTAAAATTAAATTAAAAACAACAAAAGATCTATCGGGTTTATTAATTCAGGCTTAATTTTTATAAACAGAACATCTATTAAATATATTTGTCACCTCAAAATGTTATAAACAAAAATATATTGTTGGAATTTTCTAGTTAAATAATTTGTTATTTACGTTGCTTGTTACGGTTAAAATTTGTGTTAAATTAGCCTTAAGAGGATCTACGAGTTCCTCTAGTCAAACATATGGTAAAGTTGAAAATATAAGGCTGTAAAAAAATATCAAACTTTATAGATTAATCATATTTGCATTAAATAGCTGACATTTTAATGAACACGAGCCATGGCGTTTATTATACAAGTGACTCGAAAATGTAAAAAAAAGGACCTTGACACCACAATGTGCCAAAATACTTGTTGTCTACTTGACCTTGTCTATGCCACTTCTATTACGATGGAAATAAAACGTTATACGTACGTAAATAAATAAAAATCATAGGAAATTTATCTTTGTACCTTCGTTCTTCGTTAGTAACACGGTAAATCGATTCCCAGTGAAATAATTATTTTATTTTTATTAGCCTTTTTACCTATAAAGAGCATCATACAACAGAAATGGGCTCCTTCAACGCTCACTTCTTCTACTTAACCTTGAGAATTATAAAAACCATATGTTGTGGTCTATGTTGATAGATTTAAAAAAACAGCAGGAAATTGAATATGCTTACGAGCCTAAAATTCCTTTAAGGCATCAAAAATACCTAGGTTTTGCTTGCGTTCTAGAATTTTCTACAGAGATTTTAGATAAAATCAACGCGCTGATATTTGTGACGTAATTGATTTTTGTTATACCTATAGTTGACTCCATTAAGTCTTCCTTCAGCCAATTCAGAGACTTCCAGATGGTACGTTTCTTGTAATCTCGTGAGAGCTTGGGCGGCGCCTGCAAGGTCTTCCAACGTTGGGTATTTAACATCAGCATGGTTCACTGTCAAGTTCTTTATATAATCTGAAAATGCAGTAATGATTTTTATTCATAGGTAATACCTCGTCACTGCCGATTTTTGAATAACACAAGGTTAGAGCAAGGATTGTAACGGCTTTTGATAAATTCGCCAATAAACATTTTTTTTGGTTTAAATAAATAAAAATCATCGTATTTAAAGTGATCAAAATTCTTCGTAATAACGTAAGATTTATGTATGGCAATATTACGTCAATATTTGATTTCTCCGGTACTTATAACAGTTATCCTAAAATGCGTATTTTGTACAATTTTGCTACCGGATCTAAAGCAAATATCGTGATGTGCTAATCACTGCAATGAATTTCGTAAGTTATGTTTGCCTAGAACTCATTGACATTTATTACCCAATTGACATTTAGCTAATAACTTTGTATGCGTTTGTTATCTTTAATTTTAATATAAGTTGTTCGGGGTAAAGTTTAATGCTTATTTTACGATGAATCGAGAGTTTTATTTTTTTGTTTGTCGATTAAGCAGTTATGGCTTAGAAGCTTCAGCGTGCACGACTTAGTTAAGGTCGTAGGTTCCATACCCAGACGTGCAATGGACTTTGTCTATTCTAACTCTCGCTCGTATGATGAAGGCAATCATCATGGGTGAAGACGACATGTGTCAGACAGAAGGCTGATCACCTACTTGCCTATTAAATTACCAAATGATCACGAAACAGATTCTGAAATCTGAGGCCCAGACCTAAAAAGGTTATAGCGCCATTGATTTATTTTTTTAGTTTACTCTGACTTAATCCGGAGCCGACTGACTGCTCCAATAGATTCTTTCTAAGGCTATTATCACAACCGCTTAGAACAGCCTAGTTACAGCTGAAAGTCGACGTCGTGTAGGAACAGAAGGAACACCTTATGTAGAAATGTGTCTTCCAGATATCTCGTCATTAGGACTGGAAGTTATTATTTTTTCAAATATTTTGCAGGCAAGGCAAAATTTAATAAATTGCAACCAAAAATACATGTCCCTATAAACAATTATTATATGTATTATCGATTAAGTCGGACCACATCTCAGCACATACGACTTATGTAAATTTTTATTCATAACGGCCGCGGCGAGGTGATAATGTCCCGTTCTTTTGTGAGTTTTAAGTTATTTGGTTTGTTAATACTGGATTATCTCAGCTTACAATGTTAAAAGATTTTTATTTACACCAATTTATTCATATATATTTTCTTAGTAAATTAAGAGCGACTAATATTATACCTTTATGACACCTAAATATACCTTTATGGTTTTAAGTAATTGACTTATTACATTAATAACAAAATCAACACAAAAATTTGACTCCTAAAATTTTTGATATTTTACGTCGTAATTAGACGAAAAAAAAAATTTCAAACAAAAAAAGGTTGGCTTCTGTATTTAGGAACATTGAGCGATATGTGCGAACATGCGCCTGACGCACGCCGATGACTTTATGGGTCTAAGGCAAGGCGGTTTCTTCACGATGTTTTCCTTCACCGTTCGAGCGAATGTTAAATGCGCACATAGAAAGAAAGTCCATTGGTGCACAGCCGGGATTTAATCTGCGACCTACGAGCGTGCGACTTTCATCCGTTAGGAAGCCACTAGGCCAACACTGCTCTAGATAATATGAGCATTTTAATTATAGGCTAAGGCTGAATTCCTTTGCTCCACAGATTTTCAACTTATAGAGTAAACTAAACCCTAAACAAAACTCCTATAGGTTAAATCAAGGTCGTTTTAGACATACAGCCGCCATACTTATTTTCTTTTCTTTCCTAATTTTTATATAAATATTGTAACCTTTTTGTATATAGTGTAATTTATTTATGGCTAGGTATATTTATTAGTATAATTGTTTGTTTTTCAATAATTTATCTTAAGGGGTATGAAAGTAATAAATAATTACTCATGTATCATAATTACACATTGAATATGTTACATCATGTTCATATATCGGAGCAATGGCGCTGGTACTAGCTTATAATTTAATAACATCAAAGTCAAATTAGTTCAGAACTGTTCTGTGGTTTACTTGATTTGCCAATATTAATAGATCTACAAATTAACAGACTATTTAATAGTCTGTAGTAATATCATAATTTTTATTAATGTAGACCAGCTGCTATTGTTCCGACACGTAGTATAACAGTTAATAACATACCTGTTCCGATCTCAATGCTGTGTTCGATGTGATCCAAATCAGACGTCAATCGCTTGATAAGTGTGAACGCATTAATAGGATTTCCCAAATAGTTGGGAATATCTTCCATTGCTATTTCGTGCTCTCTTTTATATATTTTCAGGTGTCTGAAATTCAGTTATAGACATTGTTATTACTAATATAATAATTTTTCTGATTTACAAGGCACGGGCCTAACGATTCTAGAACGTTAATCAAACTTAAATATAGTTTCAAGAGCTGTCAAACCATTTTTTCTGTATGAGGTTTGACATATTTGACAGCAATTAGAGTAAGAATCAGAGTCATAAGCGCGAAATATGTTTCCCGTATGTCAAAAACGTACTGTAATTAGTTTGAATTCGATTATCGATTCAAAAAGATATAATATACAAATATTTACAATAAAAATAATATAATTTGTGTATCACTAACCGTAACTAATTGTTTGCAGTGTTTCGAATTAAGCACTAAATTAATACAATTTATAGGAGCTGTCAGAGTGTGCAAAAACGATGATTACAAAACAATCAATTTGTAACGATTCGTTATTTAATTTACCTTTAAATTACGTCGATTTAACTTTGTGTTTTAAATAGAGGAAAGGTCAAAGGAATTTGAGAAAGTTCAAATCCTACCTTTTTAAAACATTTAATCTTTCTTCTTCCTTAAGGATATATTCGTCCAGGTCATCTATGATCCGTTTGTGTGTCTCCAAAAGAGGTTCGACGTCTGATATGGCAGTGAACAGTTCCGCATTGGTCCATGACCAGTGGCACGATAAGAGAACACAGGAGATAGTAAAGCGTAGGAGTAACGCCATCTTTCTGGGATCTTGGGAATAAACAAATTAAATGGAAGGTTAGAATGAATATCTGATGAAGTGGTTGCCCAAATTTTAATTTGGTTTTCAAGTCTGACAAGTACTTTGTGATTTTAATATGTAACTAGGTGTATGTGCTATTATCTATGATAATAATAATAATCCAATGGCTCTACAGCCTTATATGAGTCTTGGCCTCGGATTGCACCCGTTTCTTTAATCATTTTTTTTTCATTGAACAAGTAAGTGTTGGTAATCGAACCTACGATACGGATGCCAGTTCAGCCTCTAGGCCAAAACTGCATCGCTATTGTTTTTTTATGTTGCAGGAGGCAAACGGGCAGGAGGATCACCTGACGTTAAGTGATACCGCCGCCCATGGACACTCGCACAGCCAGAAGTCTCGCGCGCTGCCGGCCTTTTAAGAATTGGTACGCTCTTCTTGAAGGACCCTAAGGGCCAGTTTTTTGATCCGTAGTAAAAAATGGTTTTACCATTTGTTACATTAACTATAGTTAAATGAATAACCATTGGTAAAATCGTAAATGCGTTTTTCAATGCCTTTTTTAACTATAGTTAAAGTTAACAATTTGTCAATTTGTTGCCAGTGCAATGAGCAATGACATCCCAAAAATGTGGTTCTTTTTGTGGGGATCATTTATTTTGTATGACAACACTAGACATATTGAGTGAATGAAATCCATTTTTGCCATCTTCATTCGTTATTTGCGCTTTGAAGAGTTTGAAGTGTCAAATTAATCTAAATAACACGATATAAATAAAGTTGTTTTTCTGTGATTTAATACGGTTTACACTTTTTACGATACTTAAATATATAAATAACGATGTCCGCAAACAGCCAACGGTCAAATAAGTAAGTTCAAACATATTTTCGTGTTATTTATTCCGGTTTATCTTGTGTTTCGTAATAGAAAGTAATACATTTATGTTTTGTTAAAGGGACCATACTGCTAACTTCGCCAAAAAATAAACTGCCAAACTGGTGATGCTTCTCAAGGATTACACAGTCGTAACCTGCAAACAACTGATCACTGCAGCAATCTACAAAAAGATGCAGCTTGGAAATCTCTGTGACGTTTTCAACTCAGATGGGTCTAGACACCGAAGTGTTAAATTTAATATACATTTAATGAAGGTGTAGGCACATTTTTATATTTATTCTTGTATAGCTGTGTCCTACAACAAAAGGAAAAAATCTTTTAACCCTTTGGAAACAAGGAAGCGGATTATGATCCACACGGATAAAAAAAATTGAGTTTAGAAACAAAGACAAATAAGAGAGGATGATTTGTTCAATTATGCTTAAGAAGAGCATCAAAAACATTTGCTGCACCAATGAGAGGCCCACCAAAAATTCATACTGCATAAAGAGGAGGTGCACCAAAAAGTGATGCAGCAGATGGAAGAAAGGCACAATAAATATATGTAGCAGCAAAAAGAGTTGCATCAAATTGAGGTGAAATGCAAGAAGAAACAATTAGAAAATATTTAATTGCTACTTTAGGGTTTCATGTAAATTTTGTAATGTTTTTTTAATAAAAATGGTTTGTATTTAAGTTATAATTAAACAGTTTATTAATCAAGTCAAATGTTTTATTTATAAATTCTTGTAATAAAGTAGATAGATGCTAACTCACAAATGTAATAAAAGCCCTAAAGAATATCATAGGTCCCTAACTAATGTGTAGCTGTAGTTTTTAGTATAAGTACATACTTGTATGTACTTATAATAATTATAAGTTAATATTATTAGTAATATATAAATAATATTAACTCTAATTCATTATATATTCTATTGCCTATAATATTAACTTATAATAATTATAAGTTAATATTATAGGCAATAAAACACATAATGAATTAGTAATATACTTAATTATATACTGCTGCGGTTCTGTAGCTAGTAATGAAGCAAAATAGGTTTGTATGAGCTGCTGTCTATATATACTCTTGTTCTTGTATTTTATTTAATTATAATAATTATAAGTTAATATTATAGGCAATAAAACACATAATGAATTAGTAATATACTTAATTATATACTGCTGCGGTTCTGTAGTTAGTAATGAAGCAAAATAGGTTGGTATGAGCTGCTGTCTATATATACTCTTGTTCATTGGCAGTTTAAGATCATTCCCAATTTCAGTAACAATCCAGAGCACTGTTCCCTTCGATAGGGGGTAACAGTGACAAAAATCTACATCATCCCAGGTTTCTAATGGCGGATGACATTGCCTAAATATTTTTGGTCACTCATTAACACATTCTCATATAATATTATCGTCTTCTTCATCGTCTCATTAATTAAAGTATCTCAATATGTTTAAATTCATCATTAGATAGTAATAAACGTATTTATCATAGTTTGATTTCTGTGACAAACAGCTGTTAGTATATAAATTACCAGCGGCCATCTTTTTAACCCTCCGATACTGAGTAGTTAACTTTTTTGACTAATGGTTAGATATTTTACCATTGGATGCTCTTACCACGGATCAAAAAACGCATTTTGCTGATATTTAACTAATAGTAACGATTTTTTACCAATAGTTGAGTTAACTACGGATCAAAAAACCGGCCCTAAGTCGAATTGGTTCGGAAATACTTCAGTGGGCAGCTGGTTCCACATAGGGGTGGTGCGTGGCAGAAATTGCCTTGAGAAACAACTGAGCAGTTGTGGAACGTCAAGGTGATACGCACGGTATTTTGTATTCTACCTTGACGCCAAAAAGTTGAAACTCAGTGCAGGTATTAGTCCGAACAACTCCTTTGAACACTCTCCGTGGTAAATGGGGTAGAAGATGTAGAGAGAGCGATTCTAGATTTAGGCGAATACTGCACATCAATATAGGATATATATAAGCTAGTGTAGATTATTTACAAAACACGCCTTTCAAGTACTTTCCAACAGTCATTTATATCCGTTAAAGAAGTTTTGTATTACAAGAAACTAGGTCTAAACAATACGAAAAGTATAGTTAGCAAATCTCGAAACATCTAGTTGGTTCACGTTCTGGAACATGGCGATATGGTTCCGGCATGATTTTCTCTTTATTGCTATTTAACTATTATTACAATCACAGCGTATCTAGTAAGCTACGTGGCACTTCAATTTAATGTCAACGAATGAGCAATAGAAGGGGCAAATGAATGAGTAGCTATAATTATATGTGGGACACACCACATCAAATATGTCGAACACCGCACAAAGCTTCCACGTTGTAATCTTACAAATGCCGGCGTATTTAATTTATAGCGAGGAATATAAAGCAGGCATTTAATTATTTAAACATTTTTATAAAGTTCGAAGAATCATTATATGTTTCTAGAATATACTAGATTATATTAGATTTCTTAGCAACGAATTTTACTTTTTATAGAGGTGGAATACATTATGTAAATATATGATTATGCAAACATATTAGAAGAAATTAGAGATTATATTACACAACAATTAAAGCACACAATACGTACCGGATTTACGAAACTGACACAAAAAAATATATATAAAGGCAATAAATCACAGCAGGTAGCTGTCGCGAAATATTAGCGAAAATTTCTCGAAAATCGCAGTTCCTTTAACATTTTCTCGCGGCACAAATACGTGCTCCGGCGCAGCACCCGACCGGGTCAACGAACAAATTAAAACTTCGTCGAAGCTAGCGAGAAGCCGGTGACCTTATCATTGTGATGACGATATATGTTTTATAAATAATAATAAATATTTATCTGGCACGTATGCCACCCTTTGGATGATAAATTACATCCCATACATAGGCCCCAATCATCTATTAAATAAATATGAAGCTCTTTACATAATGGGTCTAAGTCTAAACTAGCTGAAGATTAGTCGGAATTAAGCTATAATTGGCCGATTTTTGAGAGCACATTTTTAGTAGATTGATTATAAAACTGTCTACGAGCCCGATGCAAAATAGTTCGTCTAGCAAGGAAAGTAGTGCAAAGCGTAAAATATAGAAAGTAAATATCGGTAAAATAATTAAGAACTTACATAACATAAAAAAAAATTTTTTTTTTCTAAAATGCAAAAGTATTCGTCTACCCTTGTCACTCAAGCAAAATAGTTCGTCTACCACTTAGTTGCGTCGCCTTGGCTCTCAATGACAGCTTTAATGCGAAGGTGCATGGTTGTAACCCATGCTGCACACTCCTCAGGCGTAATTGACTCCCAGACAGCCAAGAGTTTAGCCTTTAAGTCGCTCTTCGATTTTGATGGATTTTTACGGAGAACTTTTTTCATTTTCCACCATAGGGTTTTGACCGGCGACAAGTCCGGGCTGTTAGATGGCCATTCAATTGTAGGAATGCTTTTCGCCAGCAGCCACGTCTTTATTGTCCTTGCAGTATAGCAGGAAGCACCATCCTATTGAAAAATAAAGGAATCTTGATGCTTGAGTGACGGAATAGAGGGCAGTAAATTCTCTTCCAAAAGGTTTTGATACCTTGCAGCATTGATAGAACCATCTACAAACAGCATACCACCAACACCTTGTGCAGACATGCAGCCCCATATAATAAGAGACGCCGGAAACTTCACCTTGCATTTGAGACAATCAGTATGAAATGCCTCATTTTTGTTCCGAATCACTTTTTTCCTTCCATCGCCGACTGTCACTTCAAATTTGTTCTCGTCACTCCAAATGATACTACGCCACTGATCGGAAGTTCAATTTAAATGATCACGAGCAAACTTCAACCTCTTTTTCTTTTGTACTTAGTGGTGTAAAATCCGTAACCCATTCTTTTTAGGACTCTTTTGCAAGTATCAAATGAGACGTCTTTGTGAATCATGTCCTTCCATTGCACCGTGATTTCTCCAGCTTGAGCACGACGATTATTTTGATAAATTTCAGAATTTATACTGTCTCACTTGAGAAATGACTCAGAATTACTTTCACAAATTTAAATTATGCAACATAAATACAAAGAAGGAATATGTAATGTTATTTCACTCACCGATAGACAAACTTTTTTGCATTGATTAACAATTTTGCTTTAAAAACAGGATATATATGTATAAATTTAAATAGCTAAAATAGTTTATTGGTTCATAATTAAAAAATTGCATAAGTAACGCGACATGTGATAGTAGAACAGCTTAATATTTTATATAGATATACAAAAATAATGAAGTTAGAAAAAATCTCACAAAGAAAATTTCACACTAGGCGAACTATTTTGCATCTGGGCTTGTATACTATAATCAGCAGGCAGACTGGAAAATAAATTAACTGGAAGTTGTCATGGGTATTCAGTTACTATTATATGGTACAAAGGATTAAATAACTTTTTACTGATAAATTAGACTTCTAGTCTAGTAACGGGCAACCATCAGAGATGACTTTTTATTATTAGTTTAATGTTCATAAAAACACAAGTAATTCAGGAAACTTCTCAAGTGAAGCATATTTTCGTAAATTTGCTATTTCAATGTTTGTAGTGAAAAACTTGAAGAAAACCTCATTAATTCTATTTTAAATTAATTTCTAACTGTCTATTAGCATCAACTTAAGAGTGGCACTATCCAGTTTATTATGTATTACCTATGATCAATTTAATCACATGCTTAGTATTATGTTTAAAAAAATTAAGAACAATATACATTAATATAAGAGAGTGGTTAATAGGCTTTTATTTGTAAAATGTATTTTTACCAGCACCTTAGAAGTTTTTCTTCATAGGTATCTAGGATTTATTTTATTAGATTAGATTAGATTTATATTATTTTAGAGTATGGGTTTTGAGAATCTTTTTTATTTTTCTAATATGAAACCTAACTAACTTTTTTATTTACTTATTGCTATAATAAAGGACTACATGGAGACCACTGCACAGCTGTTTAACTTTTTTAAATTTTACTAACAATATTTCATATATAAACGATTATATTAAAACCCAAATTAATTTGCCAATCTTTAAAACTATTACATATATTTATGCAGTGTTTACTGTTTAGAAGTTACGAAGCTCGGCTTAGTACATCATTTTAACACAAATTTCGACTAGGTAAAATATAGCCTTTACATTAGATTTCGACAAACACTTATGTGAATTAAATGATACCTAAATGGGCGAATGAGTCATTTTTTGACATTAACAGAATTAATAAATATGTTTTTTAAACCAATCAGATTTTATACTCACTCTATTTCTTCAGCCACAACTCACAAGTTATGAAGTTAATAAATAAGCCGGCACATCAGTAATTTTTAATATTTTATATTAGTATGTAAAATAAAACGTATACACTTGAAAATAGCGCTTATTTATGTTTATGCGTATTAAGTAACTTTGGTCTTTGGCAGAGCTTAAGTAAAAGTTCGAGCTTTTCACTTTTGTTGTGATTTGTGCCTTTTAAAGCATAGACGTAAGTAAGTCATAAGGAAGTCACACATCATGAAGAAAGTTATACGATTACTTCGGTGTCTAACTGTCGGGTGTATACTGTAAATTGTCATTTATGATATAACTTCTATGGTATTTTATTATTTAAACAGTTAACAGTCTGCGAAAACTTTTCAGGGTTACCTTTCGGTTATCCCTTTACATATGATGGGTAAATTTAATCTAAGAGTTTTTATTAGAAATTTCTCTGTTCATGTATAGTATAGATCCTTCGATAGTGAAATCTAGTATTTAATATTTCTCTTTACTAGTAATGAAAAACTTTGTAAACAAATACATTCTTTCCCTCTTAGAATTATATGAATTAAATTTGTTTGCATTGCATCACATCTTTTTCTTGCAACAAATAAATAATCAAATACCACTAAGTAGTTTACAACAATACCGGGATCTTATTAACTATTCACTTACTTTATTGATCGTAACAATAAACGATCGATACTTTAAAGAAAAAGTTCAAAGTTTTCTCAAGAGCCATTGTGTATAAAATTGTTTTTCCAGTAAAAAGAAATAAAAATACTGTAGTTTAAGAATTCAAATTCATCTATTCATATAGGTAACAAAATGTACACTTATGAACGTCGGAATTAGTAAATATTTGATTGGTCACCCTTGACGTTTAATTATAGGTTAGAATCATGTGTATTTTGTTGTTTTCTTCATGCACTAATGATAAACTATTAAACTAAACATTCATATTAATTTGGATTATACTTTAAACTTTTAAGTTATCCGATAACGATTTTGTATTTATTTTACCATAAGCTTGCGCCATAATTATAAACAAACGAATGTAATATGTCTGGGCTTAAAATAAAAGTGATAAGTCGAAATCCTGAAGATTATTTACGTGCCACTAAAAAGGATATTCACAAAAGTAAGTTTTTCTTGTAATATTTATTAATTCTACAAGCTTGATATGTGTCAATATAAAAGATCCTTTAAGAATATAAACTACCAAATATTTACAGTTCAGAGGAATTATGATCCAACACTTCATCCTTTGGAGGCCCCACGCGAATACGTTCGGGCCTTAAATGCTGTTAAGTTGGAGAGAGTGTTTGCCAAGCCCTTTTTGGGTAGTCTAGATGGTCATTCAGATGGGGTATCCAGCATGGCCAAGCATCCACAAAGACTTGCAGTATTAGCAAGTGGTGCATTTGACGGAGAAATTAGATTATGGGATTTGGCATCTAGAAAATGCACACGGAACTTTGTTGCCCATGAGGGATGGGTTCGTGCTATTTGTTACACACCTGATGGGGATACATTCAGTAGTGTTGGTGATGATAAAACTATAAAAACATGGAAGTCTGAAGTTTGCGATGCTGAAGACGAAGACCCTGTCAATACCTTGTTAAGTATGTCAGTAGTATCTGGTATTTCACATCACAGAAATAAGCCTATATTTGCTACTTGTGGAGAAAATTGCCAGTTGTGGGAAAATACTAGAAATGAACCTGTTAAAGTATTCAAATGGGGTGTAGATAGTCTACATCATGTTGCATTTAATCAGGTAATGTCTTATGTTTAATAGTTTTTGTCCTTTGATAATACCAAAATTTTGCACTAGCTTGCAATGGAAACTAAATATCCCATTAATTTATTATGCATCACAATCTAAAGAAAATATTGAGTCTACTATATAATCGTGCTAATATAAAAAAACAACAATAATAATTTTAAAATAACTTGTTTATGTTTCAGGTAGAAACAAATTTACTAGCTTCCTGTGCTAGTGATAGAAGTATAATTTTGTATGACTGTAGAGAAACTGGCCCACTTAGGAAAGTTGTACTAGAACTGAGATCAAATGCACTGGCATGGAATCCAATGGAGGCCTTCATGTTTACTGTGGCAAATGAAGATTATAAGTGAGTATTTCATAATATTTTTAAAAATGGATAAATATGTTTCCACCTCTTTCCACGTTTCTATAAAGAGGTCCCCGAAAGTTGCAAAATACTTTCAGTCACCATTGTTAAGTATTCTAATATTGCATTTTTGCTTATGTGGGAATTGTAAATACATATTAGTTTGGACTGTAAATTTGTGTTACTATAATATGTAGATTGGCAATTTACACACATATGACCATCTAAGAGTCATGTTATTAAGAATGTTTAATGTAGCACACATACAAATTAGCTAGCTAGCTATCTCATTATATGACAGGCTATTAATACTGCCTAAGTATGTATTACATTGTATTAAGCCAATATTTTGTATACAAATCTTTCATGAGGATAATAATATAAGATACCCCTAGATAGTGTAAATGTTAAGGTACACTTGGTGTATTAACCGCATTTCATTTTTTTTTGTTTATAAATATTTTATTTATTTTATAATAAGCTTTATTTTCAAATTCTGATTACAGTTTATACACATTTGATGTTCGAAAGTTAAAACAACCAGTAAATATCCATCTTGACCACACTTCTGCAGTGGTAGATCTTGACTATGCACCTACAGGAAGAGAATTTGTTGCTGGAAGCTATGATAAGACTGTTAGGATCTTTGAAACACTCAAAGGCCATTCGAGAGATGTGTACCATACAAAGAGAATGCAACGGCTGACATGCGTCAAATGGTCTTTGGATAATAAATACATTATGTCAGGTTCAGATGAAATGAATATTAGAATGTGGAAGGCTAGAGCATCAGAAAAGCTAGGTGTTGTAAGTATTTCAGTTTTGTATGCGTTAAATAAATAAGCATGTGTTTGAACGGGTGATCCTGGACTGTGATTCCCAGCTCAACAGAGAAGGCTGACTGGCCTATTACAACATAAACATACAAACAAAAAATATTTGTAAATGTCATTTTTCTCTTTGCTAGATTCACATGAATTTATTTAATATCAGTTCAATATAGAGCTCAGTAGGAATTAAATTATTAGTAATATAAACCATTATTTCTTATAAAAACAATGCATTTGTCATTCAACTGTGCATGTTGAATTAGACAATTACAATTATTTTTTTCTATTGCAATATTTAAATTGTAGTGAATGTTCAAGCCATAACTTAGATGTTGTGAGTTACAACTTGGAGAATTACCAACTTTTGCTGGCATTTAAGCTTTCAATACTCATTTCCAGCCTAATTAATGTTTCATAAATTATTACACCTTAAGAATGCTACATTATCTCTAAGTAAAAATGGGTAAATTTTTATCAAAATATTATTTTAAAACATCAAATGCTCGCTAGAAATATCTTGTTTCATTGTTTGTTATTAAATTAAAAAATATAAAACTTATTTCAGTTAAAACCACGTGAACGCACCGCCCTAAACTACGCAGATGCTCTCAAAGAGAAGTTTGCAAGTCACCCACAGATAAAAAGAATAGCTCGCCATAGACATGTACCAAAACACATACTAAACGCTCAGAAGGAATTAAGGACTATTCGGGAGAAGTCTAAAAGAAAAGATGCGAATAGACGGGTTCATAGCAAGCCTGGTACAGTACCTCATGTGCCCGAAAGACAAAAACATGTTGTTAAGGAAGATGAATAAACTGTTTATAACTATTTTGCATTTTTATTATAATTTTTTTTAAAGATGTTTTGTCTATTAATTTAGTTAATAGTGTTGAACAGTAATTTCGTAGTTGTGCACCTACACCTTCCTAGTGTATGAATTATGAAAAATATTTTTTTTTATAATTTGTCAAAATTTAATATTATTGCTTCCTCATTAGTTACTATGTTTACATGTTTTATTTATTGTACCACTGTACGTGTCTGTGTCGTGTACTATGTTGTCTTGACGTTAAAGCTTTCACTTGCTTACATACTTTTCCCACCCTCTCTACCTACTTGTACTGGCCATAACAACAACAAGCAATCCTAACGCGATTACCTTTTTATTGGATTCTGTACGTACTCGACGTTTCGTATTCTTTACAGCAGTCGTAGTCAGTGACTGCCTAATATACTTCTAGAACGCACATGATAATCCTTTATGTATAGTATTTTTAAATTTATAAGTCGTTACTTTAACACTCGCTCGTACAGTGACGGAAAGGTCATAAGACCGGCATTCCTTAAGCTACGGTTTCCTAGAAAACCGGTGACGTTATCTAACGGCCGTAATGTAACGTTGGGTGACGTCACCCATACGTTGTCCATAAATAACATCAGAGTAGGTTTTCTAGAGAACGTTCGAGTGTCACCGTAACGTCAAATAGCGGTCCGTCTTAGCGGTGATAAACATTAGTTCAACGTTTTTCGCGTGTAGCGGTGCCCATATTTAATTAATACAATGAGTGGAGACGTGACTTGGACGAGAGAAAATGATTGTTTTATTATATTTTAATTATGTTAAAAAGTAAAGACGGTCGTTAACATCACCGCTTTTCTAGGAAACCTAAGCTTAGATTTAAAAATCGACGGCGTGTTTGCTAGGCACAGATTACACTTACTTGCCTAAGTGTAATCTATAACGTAACTAAAAAAAATGACCAAGAAACAGATACCGAAATCGGAAAAATTTTAGGGCCACAGGTCTATTATTTGGTGTACGTCGTTGTAAAATTGATCCAAAGCTCAATAATTTCAAGGAATAGTTGTACATTGCTTGGTTTAGCTGGTCATGTGATAACATATAGTTATGTAATACACATAGTATTTTTCAATGTTATGCTTACATTTGTTGTCACGATATCGATGTAAGATGTCGAAAGATCGTATTTCACCAATCATTTTGCACTTTGCGTGAACTAATGGTTCTTTTTTTCATCAGTAAAACGGCAATAGGCGTGATCTTTCAACGCCAGACGGCGTTAGGGCGCGAATCATTTGTTATTATTTCTATCACGCGTCGAGTTTCCAAACAAACTGTATTGTAACTGACAATATGAGCGATTATTGTTCGATTCGAAGTTTTATTCGAAGATATCTCAAAGAAAAAAGGCAGAGTTTGTTAAATTATATGTAGCACAGCTTCCCCTAATAATTGAGATAGCTACTCAGCTAAGTAGGTACATAACTAGATATAATTATATGATAAATGTAATGCAGTTTAGTACCTACATACCTAAATGCGATAAATGTTTGAATTCTAACGTGTAAAAAAAATGTTATATTTTATTTCAGTGTACATCCTAATTCCTAATATTGTGAGTACAATTTACAGTGTTATGTTATGGAAGAGTTGAGATCCCTTTTACTTAAAGAGGTCCCCAAATGTAAAAAAATAGTTATGCATATGCTTACTTAACGATAAAACACATGTTTATTTTATTATATTTTTATACACTGACCATAATGATATGACCCACAATGTAATTGTACCTTTTAAGAAAAAAATTCACGCCATTATGGCTGTGTGGCAGAGTATGCGAACTTTATATAGTATATAATAAATTATTATTATCATAAGATACTATTATTACACAAAATATCGCAAGGCGTCAAAAAACATAACTAAATAAAGTATTTAGATAAAATTTGAATCTTTTAAATAATTGTAGTCTGACTTATTCCTCGTAGATGTAGCAGCAGCTAGTTTATTATTCATCGTGATTTGCATTATTATATACAAATAACATTGAACCTTCGTCTCAAAACATCCAATACAACAAAACCTTTGTAAACAAGATTCAACATAACCTATAAATATCCGATATAAATCGACACGGTTGCGTATTTTTCTTCGTTTTCCCCATGGCCCAGCGGTGACACGTTTGTGACGTATAGAAAGCGTATTGCCAATGACGGCCGGTCTATAAATCATATTTTGTATCCATCGCCCATCCTCCCGTCTCCTCAATTTTTCCCGTTTTTTGTCTGAATCAAAACCTACGTAGCATCTGCTACGCGAGTACGTAAATCGTTGGGGTCGTCTGAAATTAAATGCGTACAATTATGAAGTGAGTAGTATGTGAACATTAAAAATATAAATTGAATGAAAATTTGGTAAACTATGGTTATAAGACCACTCTAGTAAACCGCTGTGCTCCGCCGTACCTGCGTTAATTCTGTAGCATAATGTTATATATCCTTTCCTCGATCAATGGAGTATCCAAAACAAAATAATATTTTTTTAATTAGAACCGATAGATCCTTAAAACCAGAAAACTTTAGCTTTATAATTTTAGTATACTCGTAGATAACATTACAATATCACAGTAAAATACGACTTTCGTTTGCAATTTTTTCATAAATATATCGCGTAATAACGCAGAACTTTAAAAATATTAAAGCTTATAACTCAAGAAAAACTTTTTTCTCTTGTAACTTTGATGAAAATTTTCAGGAATGCGACAAATTAGTACTTAAACATCCAACTAGACGATAAAGTGAAATATGTGTTTTTGTTTGTATTAAGCGTACAATAACGCTTTTACTTAAAATCTCATATTTTGCCATTGGGGGCAAACGAGTATGTGTCAACCGCTAAAAATATCCATCTGACATCTCCTTGATATTGCCATACATTGCTAATTAGTTTATTAACAAAATTCAAAGCTTCTAAATATTGATACCACTTTGTATACATTTCGTAAATTCAAAGTGGCTATTAAGATACGTTTCACGCACCATCCGTTAGCATATCCATTGGTAACATTTATCATCGAAATCCTATAAAAAGTAAACCGGAACTAATCCTACGCTACGTGTGCACCCCACCCTAATCTGCATACGCCAAGGAAAATAATTTCACGCCCTCACAACACTGGAATGATGCTCTTTGTTGTGATTTAGCGATAAACATTGCGCACCAGTGCGGTAATATACTTTTATATTGTACGTAAGGTAATCTACAATGTTATATGAATTTGGTTTTAAATTAAGGAATACTTTGTGTTATTTATATAACAAAAAAACTCTTTATAATAAGTATTGTATAGAAATAAATACATTTTACCAACGGATGTAAACGAGAATATCATACATAGTTACCGGTCACCGTTGAGCCAGTTGCTTTAATAGGTTTTAGTGTATTGTAATATATTAAAGTTAAAACAACATTTATTTAAATTACTTTAAACTTGATAATTAATAACCTTTTTTTTTCAACGGGACCAACGACTAAGAGACTCACCCGATGTTAAGTACTATCACTGAACATTACACTGCCAGAAGGATCGCAAGTGCGTTGCCAATCTTTTTAGAACTGCTACGCTACTTTTCCTGAAGAACCGAAATTAAAATCAAACATGATTGGTTTTACGATTAATGACTTCGAGCTCAAAAATCGCTATTTATGTATTAGTTTGCACATCTTGATATTAGATTATAGACTCCATTGTCAACCTTCAGCTTGTTAAAATCGTTTATACATCAATGCATTTTAACTATGGTAGCATTAACACGTAATATGGAAAATAAAAAAAACCGGCATATTATCATTATTTGGTAACTGCTATTCGAGATTGATCACCTACTTGCCAATAATAATGCCTTTTAGTTTAGATATAATTTAAAAACATTTTATTTATAAACACCGTTTAAAGTATGTGTGCCCTTTTTTGACAAAAACCGAATAATAATCCAGTGGCGCTACATCCCTAAATGGGTCTTGCCCTCAGATTGTTTCGATTTTTCGGTATTTATTTTTATTTTATAGACAAGTAGAGGTCTGAGTTCTGACAATTGTCACGATGTTTGCCTTCGCTGTGTTAATTAAAGAGACGTTTGTCATGCTTCATAATCTACAATAAATTATAGATTTGTGTGTTATTTGTTAAATAATGTTTATTTATTAATCATTATTGTTGTATTATTTTATCTTGTTTTGTTTTTTGTGTTGTGTAACTGTCAATAGATTTAGCAAAGATTAATTATAGGTATACAAATTTTTCTGTGTAAAAAAAAAGAAGTTGTAACAGAAATAAAGATTAAAACTTGCTCCTACTGACCACTGTAGGAGCAAGTGCTAATTGCGCACATAGAAAGAAAGTTTCATAGATGCAAAGCCGCGATTCGAACTCGGGGATGAGGGTCGCACGCTTGAGGCACTCTTCCAATATTGCTCTAACTAAATAAAGATTATTGTATTGTTATTATTTTTAACAGAGAAATACGAAAACGTAAGACAAGGTCCATATAGGTTTGTATGTATGTCTGGGTAATACGTATAAAGTTTGTTATGTCTGCTTGACGCCGCGGTCGTCGTTATTGAAACACGGAAAAGATTTCTCTTTGATAGTTGAGGTCGATGCGATTTGACGCCTCCCGGACGTAACTATCGGTGACGTTAGGGTTGGGATAAGTTTTATCGATAATTCATTTATCGGAACGGTTTTTAGTAACCTATGCATGTTTTGAATCTGGGGGTTTAGTCAAGATGCCTTAACATGAAGTTTTCGCTTGAAATTTTTCTAGTCCTCACTCTCAAGAAAATTCTCCCTCTTGTCATGTTATTCATTAACAGAGCTACAAATATGATAGTTGATCCATTTCAAGGGGTAAAATAAAAGTAGTACATTGATGGAAGAATAATAAGAAATGTATTATGTATAGTGTACAACTATTTTTCGCCACCGAAACCGTAATATTACAGAATTAAAT